ACTTTGAGGTTTAATCAGAGACACGTTTAGCTTCATACCAAGGAAGGCATAATTTTGTTTACACTAGCTTGAGAAGTCTGATGGGTCAAACGTGCAGGACATAATTCTCTGAACTCTTCGGCACTGGTTACAGCTATAGTTCAGATTTCTCTTGAGTTTTAATTGACTCATCTGTAAAGAGGTATGATACCACCAATTTAAAAAACCAAACCAACAACACCATGAGCAAACACTTTGTCAAAAGAATATTGTATTGTTGTAGATAGGTGCTATTGAGTCAGTTCTGACTTAATAGCAATCCTGTATATAACAGAACTAAACACTGCCCTGTCCTGCGTCACACTCCTCCTCCTCCTCCTCATCATCATCTTGTTAAGGCATGAATTCGTCTTGTAAGAGTTTCCTCTTTTCTTTTCTACTGAGTCTCAATTTGACCAAGCATGATGTCCTTCTCGAAAGATTACTCTCTTCTGGTAACATGCCCAAAGGAAGTGAGAAGAAGTCTTGAACATCTTCTAAGGAACATTCTGAGTGCACTTCTTGCAATACAAACATGTCTTTCCTTCTATCAGTCATGTATACATCAGTTTTTTTCTCTAGTCTTCCTTATTCATTCCTTCTGTATTCAAGTGTATTAGTCTTTCTGCAATATTATCACGACATTTTCACTTCTGCCTTGCCTTGAATTAGAAAAAGCGAGTATCTGACATGGACCCATCCTCAGTTTTCATTTATTCACTAAATGAGTATAGGGAGCCATTGTATCAAGCATGGACCTTGTTAGCCAATTCCTATACTAATATCATGATATTTTATTCAGACAGAAACTAGAGTAGCTATCAACTTGAACATACTATGTTTACCTTCAATAAACAATAGGCAATCTAGGAGGGGACATTTCACAGACAACACCTTGGAATTATAATTTTAAGACATTATATAAAAAGTATTTTATTCCCCCCCCCAAAAAAAAACACCATAATCCTGATGTATATAAAAAGGCATGACTCTAAAAACTGGATCTAGGCAAGTATTGTAAAGAACATAGCTACTGTTAAAGTATTAGACTGACCACCTTTGTCAGCTAATGAGGAAGGTTGTATCATATGAAACACAACGATTTGTGTGAGATAAATCCACCAGACAAAGAAGACAGGAGTGATAAAGACTTAAGTTGCCCTTGAAGTAGGAACATGAAGAGAATATTATTTCATTTCTCCTAAATAAGTATGATAGAAAAAGAATTTATGCCTTTGAGCTGTGGTGTTGGAGAAGAGCACTGAATATCCCATGGATGGCCAAGAGAGTGAACAGATATGTCTTGGAGGGTACAGCCAGAGGCAAAATGATGAGGCTTCTCCTCACATACTTTGGGCATGTTGCTAGGATGGGCTGTTCCTCGTAGAAGGACAGGATACCGGGAAGGGTGGCAGGTCGGCAAAGGAAAGGAAGACCCTCAAGGAGGGTTGATTGACAGAGTGACTGCTTCAATGGGCTCTTGTCTGTCAGAAAGTGTGAGGATGGCGTAGGATAGAACAGGGTTCAGGTCTTTTGCTCATAGGGTCGCCATGAGTTGTACTTGACTCAATGGCACCTAACAACAACAACAAATGGACCTTTAGAATTTCAAATTTTATCTTAGGTATTTTATTTGGTAGATGGCATTATAATTGTTTTTATGAAAGAAACAAGAAAATCCACCCAGAAACAGAATTCTTGACATTTTATTTTTACATAGATTTACATAGCTAGGTCCTTTTGTATATGGCATAACTTATGAACAAAACAAAAGATCAGGGAAAGGAGTCTTTACTCAAGAAGAAAACAATTTATCATAAAATTTCATAGTTTTTTCAGCCATGCTAGTCACATTTGCATCGTAGGGGGCAGATTTTCTATCCGTATATTGTCATGGTGAACAGGGCACCCTGAATACAAGGCTACTATAGTTCTTTTTGATATATTTCTGTTGTTGCTTGCTTGCTGTCTGGTAGATTCTAACTCCTGTTTGACATGAAACTTCAGATAATGAAACTGAGAACACTGGAATGGAGGAATCTAAGCTGCTTCTGAAATGCTGACCATCCTCGTTGAGGGTGAGGAGGAAAGTGAGGATAATTTTAGACAAAGTAGTGGAGTGAAAAAATTCACAGCAAATCAAATGTT